GATCCTCAATAACATTGCTGCTCGATGGGACATTTGGTGTTAAGCTGGAATCACAGTTGGAATTAATTGCCTCACTTTCCATCGAAGTTCCAGCTATCTCTGCACCTGGGGTCAGCTCTTCCAGCAGCTGCTTAATAAATTCATCGTCATCCAAATTTAGCGCGTCATTCGGCGACCGGATGGTCTCCTCCTCATCGTCGGAGGAGGAAGAGGAAGAAACGGCATCGGTGTGCGGCCAAAGGCAGCGACGCGATTCGCACTTGAGCAACTGCTCATTAAGATTTATGTAAAAATAACGCAACTTGTGATTTAAGCCTCTGCTGGAGCATTCCACACATGCATCACCCGGTTGCAGGCTCTCCATAGTGTATGTGCGTGTGCGTGTATGTGTGTATGGGACTTTAGAGACCGTGTTTTGGGAAATTTAATTTACGCGTCATTTCCCTAAGAATTTGCATATATATTTTTTTTTGCACTTGCCAATACTTTGCGTTCACAGTAATTCGCTATTTTGCGTATGCTCACCTGTCCGAAGGTTAAACGAAATGCATATAATCCGATACTAGTTGTTTTCATGGTCCGTACAATCAATTATTATCTGCAACATAAATAATAATTTCAGTTTTGAGCACAAGCCTGCTTACATAATACAAAATTGATTTTTCACTCTTTCTTTTTTTTTTATTTCCCTGCTTCATTGTGTTGGAAAATGTCAGTGTGAAAGTTGTCGACACTTACATGATGTGTGTGTGTGTGAGTTAAGTGAAGGCGCGCTGCTTTTTTCGACGTCTCCTCTATTATGCAGTTCCGAGCGTTCTGCGTTGCGTTTATTGTTTAATTGTATTAATAAATAAAAAGCAAACAAAATTCTCTAGCGCGCACGCCACACCATCTGACAGGGCTGCTAATGAAAAGAACTAGGGGTGGGCTCGTGCCCATGTGAGTTAAAAATTAGGCACGAGCAAATGATACATCGTGCTCACGCACATCCTCAAAATCGATGTTTCTAGAATTATTTGAAATATAAATCATACAAATGTATATCTTTGAAACGTATTGCATAATATTTATTAACACAATTATATTATTTCACACGCAACCATCGCTAGCTAAAACTTGCACACGCGCTTTCATTTCAAGATCAGGTAGCCCGGTAACTTTGTTTACATTTTGTATCGTATCCTCATGAGATATGGCAGCACCATGTTTCCATTTCATTTCTGTAGTTTTCTCAGATTAGAGTAGCCTTCGCATGTAGGAAAAACAGAATATATAAATTATTTTAAATCTATGTTTCGTACTCAGTATTTCACTCATCCAATTGAGATGTAAGCTGCACTTATATCACATCAAAATTATGATGAATATTCACAAGTTTACCAACACTGTCTTATTTTCTTACAGTCGGTAACTCGTTGCAAATCCATTTCATAATACGAGCGTTTGTGTGTGTTCTTCAAGTCTTGCATTTTTCATCAATTACAAATCAAGATGGTTCTGTCCGATGGAGCTAAGGAGCGTCTTGGAGTCGTTGTCGATATCATTCAAACCACATTCCACTGGGGATTTGTCCCAATGGTCCTGTACTTAGGTAAATAGTTCTCAGAGCACGTGCAGCAAGCAGCGGCACCATGTTTATTGATTTAATCGTACTAACAACAATGTTTTCTTTTCTATATGGTGCACATGAAGGATTCTCAAAGGGTGCGGAGCCTGGAATGCCACCTCTATCCCTTCTAAGCCTTTTGTGGCAATAAATATTTTCATCAATCGCTTGCAATGACAACGGCAGTGTTCTCATCATTAAATTGACAAGATGTTTTTGTTAATTGATTGGCAGTTCAACAGTTATAGGACCTGTAAGAATCGCAGGGGGAAATAAATTTCTGTTAAACGCTTAACAAATCTATATATATATATAATTTATTCATATGCGTACATTTAAATAAATTTAATCAGATCAAGATATATTAATATATTTTTCTTAATTTGTGGTGACACTGGCAGTGCTACAGATGGCAGCGCCGTCTTGTTATGGTGCTGGTATTTTTCCCTCATTCAAACCGATGTATTTTTGCAATGCAGGCAATTGGTCACACTGTTCACATCGTTCGCAAAAGCATTCGCACACAGACGAGTTTTCCGCTGATTTCGTTGATCCAAATTGCATATATAACATATAAATAATACAATTTAAGGCAAACAAAAACCTCCACAATACAATTCCAAGTGCTGGCCACAAGTGTAAATAGGTTGTAATTGTGAAATACGTGGCTACAGTGCCAAACTCACGTGATGAAAATACGGCTGAAAACTTCAACGTAAAAAGTGGGAGGGGATATGTGAATTTTTCTAATTGGGATTTGCAAGAAGTGAACGAATTGTGTCAGATTAATCGCAACGCATTTAACTGTGTGTGTTTTAACCAAATATGCTAAATTTGGCAAAAGTAAATAGAAATAGGTGCTTTACAAACAAAATAGTGGCAACTCGCTGAAACGAATGCACAAACAAAATGTAAGCTCGCTGCGGGCGCAAGCAGAGCGCGAGGCCGACTTCGAGTCCCCCCTCCAAAAAACGTCCCACGCCCACCGCCCCCAACCGTGTCCTATGCAATAAATGCGCAATACAAAGCAAATTAGTTGTCGGCGTTGCCGTATCCTTTGCATAGTTTTGTTTGTGTCGTCAAGGAGTGAAAAATAAGTTTCGCTGCCTCTTTTGCTCCCTACACAGACTTTGAGCCGTGTGTGTGTGTGCGTGTGTGTCTGTTTGTGTGCGCGCGCGGAAAACAAAAGAAAAGCACAAACAAGAAAACAATAACAAGCGCATTTATCATAAAGCAAATACAAAACAAATATGTGGCCAAAACTGCTTTGCCTATTGGCGCTGCTCAACGCCAGCTGCGGTAAGTTCCAGGATATTCTTCTTTGACTCTTACACACATACATAACGGTTTCTTATTGGAGTTGCGAAACTAACCTAAATTCATACTCTCTCTTTCGCTCTGCAGCTTCGCCCATTGAGATCGTTATAAATACCACAAATGAAGCTGGCGGTGGCAAAGCTGGCCACAAATTGCTGCCAGCAGCAGCAGCGACAACAACAACAACGACGACGGCGAGAACAACAACAGCAACAACAAGAAATGAAACAGCTGGCGCTTATCTAACCAAATCGTCGCTGTCTTACGCTGATAACAGCGGCCATGGCAACAACAACAACAACAACAATAACAACAGCAGCTTAGTGCCCCTACAATTGCACGCAACAGACGCTGCCGTCGCGGCTTCACCTCAGCTGCGCCAGTCGGCGCCCACATTCCCGCCGCTGCAGAACAAGAAACACGAGAGTAAGTCCAATAAGAAGCAGCCAACGGCCCTCGCGTGACTTTAACACCTCAAAAAGCAGCTCGAACAAGTTGAAAGCCCGCCAAGCGTTCGTCTGTCTGTCTCATGTCTGTCGCTGTCTCTGACTTGTCTCGCCTTGTGACGTCAGCGTCAGCGTCGATGTCAATGCGCTGCACTGCTGCAGACAAAGCGCTCAAGTGCCCTCCTTCCACTGTCCCTCTCCCTCTCCTACTCTCTGTCTGCTTCTCTGCCTCCCCCACACGAGCCGACTGCAGTCTCCCACCCCCGCAACTTGAACTGCAGCAATGCAACTGCAACTGCAGCACCAGCAGTTAAACAAAACTGGCGCGCAACGCCGGCAGCGACGCCGACTTCGTCTGGGTTCTTTATGCTTTCCGCTTTGCACTTGTCTTCTCGGCGCGTCGCGGCTTTGTCGTTGTTTTTGTTGTTGTTTTTCTTTTTTATGCTAAATGCCTTTTGTTTTTCTTTTCATTTTGTAATCTGAGTGCGCCTACTTCGACGGCGGCACTTCAGGCCCTGTTTGGCCAGAGCCACGAGCGGGCAGCGGGTAGCAAGTGGCGGGGAATGCTAAGCCATGTCTGCGATCGCTCAAGAAAATCAATACGAGACCGAATTATGATTAATGAATCTTTAAACGGGCAGCTAGCAGCGGGCTGCTAATTGGACAGAAAGCGACGTTTGGCTCACGAGCTGATGGTTAATAGTTGTTGTTGCCGATTGGAATTATATGTTTATGGGAGGGAAATTAAAGGAAATTTGATTGACCGAGTTTGGGAATAATGAATGGAAGGATCATGGAAGGGATTTACATTTTTAGAAAGGAAATTAAGGGGAATTTAATTTACCGAGATTGGATTTATAATCGATATGATTGATGACTAATAGTAATATAATTTATGAGCATAAAATAAAATGAAATTAAAATAAGAGTTTGTAATAGTGTTCGATTGCTTTTAATATGTATTTTAAAATCTTTTTTGTTTGCGTTGCAAAATATATTAATATAGGTAAATTTATAATTATGTTTGTGTTAATTCTATGTGGTATTTATATTAATGTATAAATTTAAATATAGTCAAACTGAAAAGAAATAGGATTTTTTGAATTGTTGAATTTCTATTACTCTAATATGGGAAGTTTTTAGCTAAGTAGCTAATAGAGACATGCGAATTAATTTTGAATGAATTCTCACTGGAATTTTCCATTGTAATCATTTTATATTGAATTTCCCTTTATTTATCTCACTTTACAGAGGCGATCAAATGCCATTGCGATATCTGCAAAGAAACGAATCATATCTGCGAAACGGATGGCTATTGTTTTACGTCTGTGGAGAAGGACACCGACAGCAAGATAATCTTCAGTTTTCGGTAAGTTTTTCTTTTGCTGCCATTATGCTCAAAGGCAACAACAGCACAGGAGAAATTCTGAATGTCTGTGTGTGTTGCATAAATTCGTTGTGTAGCTGCCTCAACATGTCGCAGAGCTTCCCGCCGGGCCGTTTCATTTGGTGCAACGAGGGCCGACAAGGCGGGCCAACGGCTCGGCCAGCCGCACGTCGGGGCGGTCATGCGTGCTGCAATGATCGTGACTTTTGCAATCTGAAACTTCGACCGATTATCAAGCAGCAAAGTGCCACACCTGGTGGACGCCAGGAGTCGGTGGGGGCATCGGTTAGCCCATCGGTTAGCTACGAAGGTGCGCTATGCTGTGTGCACGTGTTCTAACTCCCTACCACTTGCCACTTGCCTACGTTTCATATCCTCTCTAACCGTCAAAAAAAACCGCACGCCGTTCCAGTTGCTTTGTTCCAGTTGGTTCGTTCCTTTGAACTAGCTCGTTACTCTACTATATATAATGCTCGTGTTGAGTTTGACTTGTTAGTGAATCATAACCGAAAAAATTAATGCAGCACACACTACTAAAAAAAAAACAAACAAGCAGCAAGAAGAACAACAGCAAGCCCAAAGACAGATTTAATCCAAGAGCGAATGAACTGTAGCCAAGAGCAGAACCAACAATTGAACTTGTGGTTCTTGTCTTGGCTAAACGTACAAGGGCTTTTGCTTAATCAAATCCTTTACTAATGAATACAGTTTTTTTTGTTGTTTTTGTGTTGTCTCTTTTTTTGCTACTAACCAGACTGATTTTTAATTAGCGACTGGGCTCAAAGACATGAGTAGCAACAAAAGAAAGCAAAAACAAAAACAACAAAAATTGAGTATTACTAATTTGTTTGCTGTCTCTCTCTCTCTGTCTCTGTTGCTGTGTTCACCTGCTCGCTCGTGTACACCGAACAACAAAAACAAATATTAAGAAGCGCCAAATAAAATCACTTAAAAAATGCCAAAAATGAAATGATATCAAAACAAAACACGCCACGCGCGCGCTCTCTGCTCTCTGCGCTCTACCTTCTCTCTCTCTCTCACTCTCTCTCTCTCTCTGACTTTCTCCCTGTTTGTTTCGTCACGTTCGTTTTGCTCGCTCGCCTGGCGCTCTCTTTCTCTCTTACTTTTGCTCTTTAATACAACTAAAAAAAAACATATTTACCAAATAACTGTATATTGGTCTACTATTGCTGTACAGTTGCATCGATAAGCGTTACGAGCTGAATCGCGAGCCGTTGGAATGCCTTTCCAGTCGCCCAAAATACGATTCGTATAGAATTAAGTGTTGTAATATGGATTTCTGCAATAAAGATGAGCTTATGAAGAGGATATTTGAAACAGGTACAGCAAACAGAAACGAAAACAAACAAAAAAGCAAAAGAAACAACAAATATATATAAATAACCAGAAACAAAAGCAAACAAAATACACACAAAAATAAACACTATTTTTCTACCTCTCTCTCTTTCTCTCTCTCTGTTTATGAAAAGCTTTTTGGTTTGCACTTCTTTTGTACTTTGCGTTAATTATGCACAGCAACAACAACAACAACAAAAACAACAACACTATTATTTCTGTATGCACTCAAATAATCAAATAAATAATAATAGTTTTTATATTAATAATTTTATTTCGATTTGCACAACAATTTAGTAGGCGGCTTATAATTGATTATAAATAGTTTGTTTTTCTATTTCTTCTATATTTTTAAGTAAATATTTAAATTTTCTATTTGCACTTTGTTCGCTTTTTGGTCGTCCTCAGATTAGTAAATTTTTTTTGTCTATTTTTGCACGGCTTTTCTACTATTATCTATTGTACCTCTCGCTCTTTCTCTCTATTTCTGACTATCTTAACGGCACACCAAACACTACAACAGCAACAACAACTACACTTATATATATAAGTCAAACAAATATAAAGAGATTTAGTTTTTTCAATCAACTTTTGCATGCTAAATAATTTCGCATACTTTTCGATTGTAGTTGCTTTTAAGACGAAATATGTATGTAGCTATTTTAGTGCGTAGCGTTTATTTTCGTATATATGGTGGATTACTTTCAGTGTTGGTCAACAGGTGGAATTGCCGTCGGATTTACTAGTTCAATTATCAAACTTTGTTCTTCTAGATTCGACTCTGACATAAATATTGTTTTCCCCTAATTTGTTTTGTATATAATCAATATTCGTCGGGTACCCTTAGACTGCTTCAACGGTATTCCTTGTACTTTTGGCCTCTCGTGCTCTCTCTCTCTCTCTCTCTCTCCTTGCACACACAGCTAAACATATTAAGCCGCTGCTGTACGCCCACTGCCCTAGCCCCCAGCCCCTGCTAGTTAACGCTGCCTGTGCTCGCCGCCCCCCTTTAGACCACGCCTCTGCTGCACGCTCGCTGCGCTACTACAGCAATGCAACTTTAACAACAGCTGCTTATCAACTGCACAAACAACAACAGCAATCAATGCAACAGCAACAGCAACAACAACTACTACTACAACAACAACAGCAACAAAAACCCTAAACAAAAACCTTTTATTTGCCTAACTTAGTAGTAACTAAAATATTAGTATATAGTATTAAAACAAACAACTTGAGTCTAATACTCTAAGACAACAACAACAAGAACAAAAGCAAATGTACTACTCTGTATATGTATATGTATGTATGTAGATGCCTGCCCCTAGCAAACCACTTACCACCCGAAGATCCCGCCTGGTGTCATGATAAAACACCCACCTCCTCCACACAATGTTGCCAAGATGATTTTTGCAATACGCGTGAAAATTACAATGGTGTTATACCAGGTGAGAGTTGCTTAAAAACCATCAAAACAGCGCAAAACAAGAACGACAAAAATTTCCCCATATCCATTTATTCGCCATTCCACGATCCAGCCTCCATCTGCAATTCCCAACCATTCATCCATCCATTTATCCATCCATCCATCAAGCAACTTCGGCGGACACGAAAAAAGAAAAAGTTATTATTTTGTTATTCTCACCACACGAGAGCCCCCCTCTTGTCGTTTAAAGCCACGCCCATGTCATTGCACCGTCACATTTGCGTTTTCCTTTAGACAGACCTTTTTGTAGCACACGCAACATATCACACAAACACCCATACACACACACACACGCATACCTGTCACACTCTAGTCAGAGCCCCTTTTACTCAGCCTCTGCTCCACATTTACATGCGTCTGTGCTGTCTAAAAATACATATAACAACAAAAAAGAACTGTTTTGGTTTGCTGGGATTTTTGCCTTCCTTTTCCATGTCACAGACACACACACAGACACGCTCACTGGTACACACACCCTTTTCGTGTTGTTGTTGTGTATTTCACCTTGTCTCGCTCAGTTTGTTTTGCGGCCTCGTCGTTCCTCCTTATCCTCCATCCACTTGTCGCTCTCGGTATGTACTCGAGTTGTCTGCTGACCTTTCGCATCATTCATATTGACTTGTTAAAAACACGTCGCACACAAACGCGCACACATAAAAGCCAAACAACTGTAAAAATAAAAGGAAGTATGCAAAAACAGCAGCAGAAACAATAACAAGAACTGTCTCAAGGGGCCCAACCAGCAACAACAAGAACAACAAGAACTGCCCAAGGAGTAGAAGCAGCAACAGCAGACAGTGCGCTCTTTCCCGCTCACTCGTGCGCAGCCAGCTTGTCTGCGTTAATTCTGTCTGCCCCTTCTGTTTTCTGCTTCTGTTTCTGTTTCTGTTTATGCGAAAGTCGTGTGCATTCATATTCATTCATGTGTGGCTGCGGCTGTGGCTGTGGCTGTGGCTATGGCTGTAGCTGCATTGCGATGCTAGCGTCGCTGTTGGCGTCGCTGCCTAACGGCTTCATTCCATTCATTAATGGCCGCATTTTTTGTGTGTTTTGCCGTCTGCAGCCTATTTTTTCGCTCATCTAAATATTATTGGTAGTTGTGTGTTTGCTCATTTGTTTCTATGTATGTATGTATGTGTGTATGCGCGTGTGTATGTGGGTTTGTTTAAGTATGTGCGCGTATTTGTGTGTTTGCAGTTTATTGCTCTGTAGTTTTTAAGTTTGCGCCGTCAAGTATGCAAAGGTTTGTAAATATGTAACTACCAAATGTCAACGGCAGGTTAGTGCCAATTACTACTATTACTTACACATACCTACATACATATATGTATATAACACATACATACACAGACATACACTCGCACATACACTCTCGCACACACACACAAAGACTAACAACTAACGTTTATTGATTTTAAGTGCACCTTTGTTTATTTGGTTTGTTTTATTTACGGTGTTTGGGTTTTGTTATAGTTATATTTGATAGCTTGTTCTAATGCATGTTGCCTTCTCACTTATATACTCTAACTTTCTGGCATTTAATTTTCCATTAATTCTCACGCTCAGCTTTTTTGCAGCTTTCGCTATTTGCTTCTGAGATAATTAATATCTATTCGTTTTCCAACTAGAATACCGATCTAATGAGACGCTGTCCAGCTGGCAACTGGTGGCCATCATCGTGGGCGCCACCTTGAGCATTTGCTTTTCGGGCACTGTCGCCTGGTATTGGTGTCAGCGTCGCAAGCGTTTGGCCAACGGGCGACCGTTCACCAAGGAGGATTCTGTCTATGATCCCATACTAAATGGTAATACTACGCTTCATGATATTATCGAGATGACCACCTCAGGCTCTGGATCGGGTGAGTGCGATATATATGGATAGCTTTACTAACTAAAATTGGAAAATTAACATGCGCACCTGCTAAAAATACGCTCTAATCTTGAATCACCCACTATTCTCTTCCCAGCTGGACTGCCGCTGCTGGTGCAGCGCTCCATTGCACGTCAGGTGCAGTTGTGCCATGTGATTGGCAAGGGACGCTTCGGCGAGGTGTGGCGTGGACGTTGGCGTGGCGAGAACGTGGCCGTCAAGATCTTCTCGAGTCGCGAGGAATGCTCCTGGTTTCGTGAGGCGGAGATCTATCAAACTGTAATGTTGCGTCACGAGAATATATTGGGTTTCATAGCAGCGGACAATAAGGGTGACATATTGCGCCTTCATAGCAATACTTCAACTAATACTAACGGATTAATTAATCTCCAGATAACGGCACCTGGACACAGCTCTGGCTGGTTACGGACTACCATGAGAACGGCTCGCTTTTCGATTACTTGACCACGCACACTGTGGACACCAATACCATGTTGAACATGGCGCTGAGCATTGCCACGGGTCTGGCACATCTTCACATGGACATAGTGGGCACACGCGGCAAGCCCGCCATCGCCCATCGAGATCTCAAATCGAAGAATATACTGGTCAAGTCGAATTTGAGCTGTGCCATTGGAGATCTGGGTCTGGCGGTGCGGCATGTGGAAAAGGATGATTCAGTGGATATACCATCCACTCATCGCGTGGGCACCAAACGCTACATGGCGCCCGAGGTGCTCGACGAGAGCATGAATGCCCAGCATTTTGATTCGTATAAGCGCGCGGATGTCTATGCCTTTGGCCTGATACTGTGGGAGATAGCGCGTCGCTGCAACATGGGCATGATCTTTGAGGAATATCAATTGCCGTACTGGGATGTTGTGCAGCCCGATCCCAGCATTGAGGAGATGAAAAAGGTATGCTAGTATCATATATCAATTGTGTGTGTCTCTCTATTGTCGTTTTGTTGTGCCCCCATTGCAGGTCGTTTGCATTGAGAAGAGTCGACCGAACATACCCAATCGCTGGCATGCCTCCGATGTGCTCCACAACATGGCCAAGGTCATGAAGGAGTGCTGGTATCCCAATCCAGTGGCGCGTCTCACTGCGCTGCGCATCAAAAAGACGCTGGCAGCCATACGTGTCGAGGACAAGGTCAAGAACTGATTGTGGCTCTAATGTGTTTGTGTGTAGTAGCCCTCACCTGTTCCACAAGAATTGGAATGCGTCTAATCTGAATGGAGTTGCGTATGCAACCGTGCAACCTGTAACCTGGCCCCGTGTTACCTTCAACCAGCAAACAAAAGAAACAAAACAAAAAACATAATGAAAATGAAAATTAAGAGAAAACTAAGCTAAACTATAACTAAACTAACAAATACGCTGTAAATACTTAGATCGTATATGCCCGATTCCCCACACACACACATGCTATGAACTGTGCTCGTTTTATATTATATTATCTTTTGCATTTTGCATCTACTCTTACTTTTGTACATATATATACCTATATATATACACCTATATAAATATTTCGTTGACATTTTCCGCTGAGATTCGCTTAGTTTTTCATATGAAGTCATAAAGGCAGCGGCGCGCCACACGAAAAAAAAAATCAAAAACAATATAAACAAAGAACCGCCGCACTGCCAATTTGTGCTAAAAAAAAAAAAAAAAAAAAAAAAAATAAAAAAAAGGAGAAAAACACTTAGGGCCTAAATATGTATACCTAACATATATTTTTTATAGCCACTGTTCACAAACAAACAAACAAGAAATATATATATAGATGAGAAACAAAAAAAAAAAATACATACAGTTAAAAGACTTTGCCAAGACTGAGCAGCAGTGAGAACAGCAGAAAACCAGAAAAAATACAAAAAAGCCCCAAAAAAGTGAAGGCAAAAACCCCAAGTTACAAATTACGAATTCCAGTTATATATCAATATAATAATCGTATATAGGAAACCGTAGCAATATCTAGTAATTAAACACTTTTTAGGCGTTTATCGTTGACAACAAAAAAGTAAAATAAAAGAAGGAGAATAAAAAAATGTATAAAAACTCAGGAATTCACGAATTACAAAAGAAAACAAACAATTTTGAAAAGCAAACAAAAGTAAAATAATAAAAATTTTATGGCGCGCCGACTGCTGCATGCCACGCCCCACAATCATGCCCGCCCCCCTGCACCTGCCCCCCTTTAAGCTGTTGCTGCTGTGTGTGCGTGCCCTAAGCTAATTAAACAATCACACACACACACACATACATATATATGCATAAATCGCTTTTAAGTTTTTCTATATATGTATATCAATATGTAGAATCTTCAATTTAAAAACTTCATTTTATTTGTTTTTCATCAACATCATATTTGTTTTATATTTTTTATTATTATTTTGATTTTTGTTTAGTTCTGTTATAACCAAAGCTTGTTCTTCCTATTTTTACTGTAGTCATAGAAACAAATGCTAAACAAGTTGAGATAAAGAACGAAATATGTATATGTGAAATAAATATGTGTACATATATATTTATTTAAATGTATATGTGCTTGATGTTTCATGAACAAAACACATTGAAGGAGTTTAGATTAAAAACAATTGTAATTTTTAAGTCATTTTGTCACACTGTAAAACCTATATTAGCTGTGTTGTCATTTAATAATTTCAATTGTATGTTGAATGTTTTCTATATCTGCAACACACACTCACACACCTATACATTCACACAACAAACCAGCCATAGCCAAGCAAACTAAAGATTCCCAAATAAATCAAAGCTGCAATAGTAGTTTCTATACAAACATCAAATGTTTCCCCACACAGCCAAGAGATTAAAGAAATGGAAATATTATCAAAATAAAAACGAAAGCACATTAATTAATTTTACATTTCATCGGGCTACGACTAAGCAACATATTATAATTATTATGTATAACAGTTCTATTTGATATGCGTATAACGAGAAACGATAAGAGATAAAAGTAAAACTATATATATATATAAATCTAAACTAGTTTGTTAAAACTTTCGGCCTGCGAAATTTAATTTCCTATTAATTTAGGCAACTGAAGAAACAAAAACACAAGAATTATTAAATACGTTTACACCTAAGTTTAAAACTAATTTCCTGTAATTTTTAATTTTGCTGAATTCCCAAAAAAAAGAGAGAAACCCAGAATTCAGTAAAGAGAAAAACGAAATAAATGTAACCTAAGTTTTTACAACAAGAATATTCCTGTAATTGTAAAATGTGTAAATATTGAAAAAAAAAAAAAAACAAAGTCAACAAACAAAAACAATCTGTAACATTGTTAAAAATGTTAAATGTTTAATCAGCCAGTTTCCCAGAAGAGTAAGCGAAAATTGTTTCGTTTTCAAATGCTTAAAAGAAAATGAATATTAACAGTAATCAAAGATTCTATTTAAACACTATATCGCTCTATAGAGGCATCTTAAACCGTACTGAGTTAAAAACAAAAAGAACCGAAGAAATGAATAAAAAAAAAAAGGAATATAAAAGACTTGAAATGCGCAAAAGAAAACTTTTTAGAGAAAAAACATCCTATTTTCCAGCTAACAAAATTATTTTTTAAATTAAAGGAAACGAAAGAAAACTTGTTAGGCTCAAGTTTATCGAAAATATATATTTTTTGGCAGCATCTGTGTTTTGTAATGTGTATTGGAAAAGAGAGAGAGAGATAGCGAGAGTTCGTATGGAAATCAGGATGTGAATTGGAATTTTGGATATGTATGTAGTATGTGAAGCATTTACGGTGTACTGTTAAAACAAAAACAAAACAAACAAAAAAAATGGAAAAAAGCGTTGAAAGTGTAAACAGAGTCTAACTTTTAGCTTTAAGCTGCGTTTTTACTGGCACTTTAAATAAAAACAAAAACCCAAAAAAATATTTGTAAAAACCAAACGAACCGAATTTTAATTTCTACAAAGCGAACAGTTGCTCGCCTTTGCGGGTTCTTTACATTTACTTAGGCAATGTCGTTGAAAGGTTAAGAACCTTTTAAGAGTTCAAAAAGGGGCCCTAGGAGTTTTGAGCTTACATATTCATTTGGCCTTAAGTGTATTTTAATTAAAATCGTTTGCCATCAAGAGCTGGTGCTGGGACTTTAGTCCTTGATTTATGGTTTTACTTTTGGAATTATACAATATAATTTTCAATTTTTTATGAATGTTTATGGAAGCCATACGAGGTACTCCAGTAATTGATATTGTTATTGTCGATTGTCGTAGCTAATTTGAGAGCCTAGTTTAAATGAATGACAATCATGTTATGTGAAATCTTCAGTTCCTCATGGTTGTAAGCTCAATCTATATTTTATCATATATTCAGCCATGAAAAAATCAATAATATTAAATTGGATATATTTTTAAAGCTTATTTGGTTTTTCTTAAAAATAAATTTAAGCTTTACTCAACCTTTTCACTTACCCAAACGCTTTAGGCACTACTGTAAAAAATAAAAAATCTTTACAGTTCCTGAATTTTTAGTAACAATCTTTTCACTCGTTCAAGTAATTCAGGAAGTTGTAAAATTCGGTAAAATTTTTCAGCCAACATTTGCTATTAAAAAATGCTCCCAAAATAGCCCCGACTATATTTAAATATGAATAATTAAAATTAATTTTCCACATTTTCATTTTTTTGGTTTTGTGGGCTTTGCACCCTTCGCACTTTTTTGCGTGCCTCAAATTTGGTTGCTGTTTATTCAATTTGTTGACTTTGTTGTGTTTCCTCATTAACATTTTGCAATTGGTTGTTTGTTATGTGAAATACATTTACATAGGTTTAATATTAAATACAGATATATATGTATATTTATGGGTTTACATATGTATGTATATCTCGTTAGACTTGACTTGATGCGAATAAAAAAATAACGCAAAGTGCGAGAACAAATAAAACACACACAAGATACATACAGTTCCCGTTGCGGTCATGGCTACGTATTTGTTGTCATTATTATTATTATTAAAATTAGTATATTTATTATTTGAATAATCGATTTCATTTATTTATATGCACACTAAGAGTTTGGAATAAACATTTTTTTCTTGGTTGATTTAATACTTGCTGTAATAACATTGAATGCCTCAGTCAGTATTATATTAATATGTATATATATTATGTATTTTATGTTTCAAAACTTTTTGTTGGGAATAAATATTATTAAATTTCTACGTAAAACACATTCCAAATATTAATTGATTATTATAAGTGTGTTAATTACTTTCAAATATTTTGTTTTAAACAACGAGAGTGATATGCATTTGTTAAACATTTGATATGTATTTTTCATTAATTATTTTTTTATTTTTTTAATTTTAGAATTTAATTTTGTTTAATATATATTCTTTAAACGTTGCCTTTAGGTTGTCTCCAGTAAAATATATATATTTGTTAGATTTGTCTGCTGCTCAATTGCGACGCTGGTGAAAGACGCTAGCCATGTGCTGTTGGACATAAGGTATGTGTATTTACAGGGTATTCAAGGGTTTTGATGGACTGCTTACCTCTTGGCCCACATCGACGCAGTCGAAGGCATCGCGAAAGTAGCCGCAGCTCAGCTTAGTGGCTCCACGATGATGCAAACGCTGATGCTGGCAACACATGCCGCTAAACGAATAGGGAATGCAAATGATTTACTAGCAAATACCCTGTATACGTGATTAATATTTAATGATTTGTGGGCTAGCGTGTTCGATAGAGGAATCTTTGTTGACTAAGAGGGTAAATTTAGAATGGAAAAGATGGAAGTACTGTAAGCATGATTGATGAACGTAATTGACAGCAAATTGACATTCAGCTTAACAACTCGACATAGAAATGTATGCACAGAGAAAAAACGAGAGAGAGAGAAAGAGAGAGAGAGAGAGAGAGAGAGAGATAAACATTGGGTAGAGATATATTGAGAATAGAGATGAGGGCTCTCCAGATCGTGAGACATTGACAATGAAGAAGATCGTCGGAGGAGGTATGCAAGGAGAGAAGGAAAAATAAATTTAAGTACGACCAAGGACAATGGGAGATTCTGCTGGGTCTTGAGTTGATACACATTAGGCAGAAAGTTGGATGAGAAGAGTAAGAGAGGAGAACTAAATGGTTTTATTAGTTAAAGTAACTCGTATTAATGAATTTAATGCTGTCGATTGACATCTGTCTAATTATTATTAAGTATGAAGAAAGACTCCCTAGACTTATCGAAGGGCTTTAGATTGATAAGGCGCAAAAAAACAGTGAAAAGGTCAAAAACTAGCTGACAAACTTGACAAACAGTTGGCTAAATCAAGAACTAAATTGAAATGAGAAAGATATGAGAGATGAAACGGATTTTATATCTAGTTCTTTCTTGAGGTGATGTTTTCATTCAATATTTAAACATATTTGCTCTACAGTAATGCTCTCAGACACTTTGTTTACAGGGTATAGAGAGAGAGAGAGAGAGAGAGAGCTGTCAACACTTACTTGACCACTTGACAATCACTGGTGCTGGTGCAGTCGCTGCCCAGCGGCTGCTTGGGTCGCACATGGAACACATCCGTGAGCAGTGGCGCCTCCGTTTCGCAGCGCCAGATGCCCTCCTGGGGTGCCAGCATGCAGGCACTGCCTGGCTGACAGTCGGCGTGCCGCTGGCAGAGATCA